GGGTAATCTTGCAACCATAACAGGGAAAATTAACATGGTTCACATTCAAACAGAAACTTGTCCACAAATCTGCTCTTCATTGCACATCACTGTTAGTAAGGCCAGTAGTCAAAACTAGAGGTCTCTCAGACGTGAGGGACTAGAAGGAGAATCTGGTTCATTTGATGTAGCACCACAAAGACTTGTGAACATGTAATTGGAAACAGAGAGTAATTATTAATGGATGTTTTTCTGGCTTCCTGGAGGTTTATAGAGAGATTCCCTAGTGATCAGTATTGGAACCCTTGTTTTATTTGTGACTTACGTCAATAGCCTAACTCTTGGTGTATAAGCTCAATTTAGTTTGCAGATGTCAGAGAAAATAAAAGCAGCAAATAGCTAAGGAGTGGAATGCACTGTCTGACAGTGAGGTTAGTCATGATTCACATCAAGTCCAGCCTCCCACCCTACCTCAATCCCTTGCAATTTGCCTACCGGCACACAGGTCTACAGCAGATGCCATTTCCCTAGTCCTACACACTTTCCTGGAACATCTGGTTAATAAGGACACCTGTATCAGGCTTCTACTTATTGACTACAGCTCCGCCTTCAACACTATAAGATCAAACACCATAAATCCAACCAAACTAATCTCCAAACTCCGAGACCTAGGTCCCTGCTCCGCTCTCTGCAACTGGATCCTCGACTTCATGACCCATAGACAGCAATCAGTAAAGGCAACAAGACCTCCACCACGACAATCGTCAACACCAGCGCCCCGCAAGGATGCGTACTCAGCTCCCTACTCTACTCCATGCACACTCATGACTGTGTGGCCTAATTTCATCCGAAATCCATCAACAAGTTTGCTGACAACACCACCATAGTAGGCTGAATATCAAAAAACAATGACACAGAATACAGGAAAGAGATACAGTAATCAGTGACATGGTGCAAAGATAACAATCTCTCCCTTAATGTCAGCAAAACTAAAGAGCTGATCATTGACTTCAGGAAGCAAGGAGGAGGACACATCTACATCAATGGAGCTGAGATGGAGGTGGGTAAGAGCATCAAGTTCCTAGGAGAGAACATAACCAACAATCTGTCTTGGACTACCCAAATTCATGCAACAGTCAAGGTGGCAAAACACCTCTTCTTCCTCAGGAGGCTTAGGGGATTCGGCAAGTCCATAAGGACCCTCACCAACCTTTACAAATGCACCACAGAAAACATTCTATCTGAATGCATCATGGCTTGGCACATCAACTGCTGTGCCTAGGACTGTAAGAAACTACACTAAGTTGTGAATACAGGCCAGGCCATCACTCAAGCCAACCTTCCATCCATTGACTCCATCTACTCGCAATGCCGCAGAAAGGCAGCCAACATCAAACACCCCTCCTACCCCAGTTATACTCTATTCCAACCTCAGAAGATACAAAACCTTAAACACACATATCAACAGGTTCAAGAGCAGCACTTTTTCCCCTGTCTTTATTACACAGGTGAATGGAACTCTCAAACTTCAAATCTAATGTTAACCTTACTTCTGTACACCTTCTTTGCAGCTGTAACTTTGCATTCCCCATTCTGTTCAATCACCCTATGATCCTTGTATCTTTGTATGCTGTGATCTGCTGTAATGCACGCAAAACAAAACTTTTCACTGTACTTAGATACATATGACAATAATCAAATCAAAAAAGGGTAGGTTCAATTGAAACTTTCAAAAGGGAGATGGACGGTTACGCGCAGGGTTACAAACAGAATAAAGAAGTTTGAGATTTAGTACAGACACCGTGGAATGAACGGCCTCCTGTGCCGGCCTCAGATGTGCCTCAACTGATCGCTCCTTTTAAACCAGGCGCTGGATCTGAAGTCCTCCCGGGAATACTGTCCCCGACGGTGTGAAGACAATGGTTCTCACCTGCTGGGCTAACAGTTCCCGTCGCAGTTTCTGCCGCTCTCGGATCTCCTGCAAACGGCTGTCCATAATCGGTATCCCGCACACGCCTCCCCGTTACCGGATCTGACCTTTCTTCCGCGCGACCAAGTTCTTACATCACTTCCGACGGTGCACGCCTCTACGTAACACCACAGAACGGGGCGGCCATGGCGGTAAGCGCAGGGGGCGGGTCTCGGTAAAACAGGGGCGGGGCCGAGTCGTAGTGGGCGGCACCATTTATATATGGGCGGGCCGCGTCTGTGTGGGGAGTGCCGAGTTTGTTCGTGCGGAGCCGAGCATGTGTAGGCGTGGCCGGGTACGTGTAGGCGTGGTCGACTCTGTGTGGGCGTGGCCGTGTACGTGTGGGCGGAGCCTTGTCCGCAGATGGGTCTGTGAGTTGGAATAGATGCTGTTACGCGCTGGGCAGTGGTTATTGTAGTTTCACAACTTGAAATGAGCTTGTCTGTATTTTAATAAAGTTGTCTCGTATACAGTAAACGTATAACATGCAACAGCAAATAATTAATTGTAGGTCTCGATAAACCCCCAGTTTGACCTCACCTGGAGCATTGAGGATGACTCTGGACACCACATTTCAAGAAAGAGGCCTTAAAAAGGGTAAACTAAGGTTTACCTGTTTGCTGGGAGGGTTGGAGGACTTTGGTTTTGAGAAAAACTTGTTACAGTTATGATGGTCCTCCTCGGAATAGAGATGATTGTGATCTTAGGGGTTTTCAAGATGATATGAGGCTTGTTAAAATTGATCGACAAAAAACCTTCCCAACTTGGTGACTGTGGTGGACTTAATATCATTTCCAAAAGAACTAAAAGAAAGAGGAGAATATTTTCACATATAGTTGCCAAGATGTGAAATGTTTCACCTGAAAATTTCATGCAGGCTTGCTCCAAATCAAATTTTCAAAAAGTATCTCAAAAACAAAAAAATTGAGGGTGAGAACCTTAAAGGATAATGAACAGAAAGTGAGGACCTCTTTCAACAACCAGCAGAGACACAACACGTTAAACGACCTCTTTGTGTTGCAATTTCTTGTGGGGTTTAAGATACTGGTATCCAATATTTTAACACATGCCACTGTTTATGTTTCATTACCTTATCGTTATTTTAAGTAAATGAGAATTTATTCTAATTAAATAAGTTGGGTGCAACATAGAAGTTAAGAGTGTAGTAGTGATGGGATGAGGAGCTTGGCTTATGATGTGTGGGGCATGCATGCGGGATACACTGAAGCTGTGTTTTGTTCTCTTTCGTAAGTGAATAACCACCATCATAAAGATTGTGTCAGTAGGAATAAAGCATAGATTGCATAGGTTGTCAGTCAAGAGTCACAAATCTGAATAAAATGTATTTGTATTATTCTATATGATCCCAAAGGTGTGTTGTTTTATAAGTGAAAGTACCTAAAGATCTAAAGTGGTATTATCAATCACATGGCTATCATAAGGCAATTAAATGTGAGAAACGTAACAAAAATAAAGCTTTGTTTGTACCTGCTCTTCCTGGGTTCACTCTGGCCACCATGATTTTTTGTACTGACTTCATTTTTGTTATGTCTCTGACCAGCCTTACCACAGTTGAACTGTAATAAGTTTGTTCTCAGTCTTAATTCTTTGCTCCACTCCAGTAATAGTGAGCAAGCACCCTCTATCATGCAGAGTGTCATATGGTTGGGGTCTAGACATATCACCTGTATCATCGAGGGTTCCCTGCTTGTCTTATTAACCTCTCCCATGTCTGGTTGGTCAGTGTAGCTGAGAGCCTACTCCATATGAAATTCTGCACTGCTCCTGAAAGTGTGAAATCAGGGATATGCTGTTTTACAGCCATCATATTGAGCTCCTTGCTATGTAAGTCCATTTGCTTACCAAAACCAAAAAAAAGCAAGTTCCAGGATAAAGATTATATTTTGTTTAAAGGAAAACTTGAAACTTTCAAATGTACTAATAAGTGAAACTTCTTGTTCAAAAAAAACAGATACTAAATTGTACAGTTTTACATTCCCTATGCATCACAGATAATTATCGAGAATAGATAGCCTAAAAATGTTAAATCAACATTCATGGTGTGTCTTGAACGAATAAAACACTTACACTCCCAAAGTTAATCATTTGCCCAGTCGATCAACTAAATTACTATTTTTAAAGCTATTTAATGTTTTCTTCTTGAGTACTCAGTCAAATTCTCCCACTGTGATATAGTGCTGTTGTTACATGTTTTCTAAAGGTCATGGCCCAATGGATTTAACTCTTATCTCCAAAGGATTTCTAATATCTCACCAAGAGCATTGAGGGTGTAGCCTATTTATAGTTGCCTCACACAGGAGACCAGGCAGTGTAGGAGTAGCATAATAATAACATTGTTTAGCCTGTTTCTTGAGAGCAGTAAACTATTTTGTCAAGCAACTGTACAATGGCACTTGGTCTGCTAACATCAATGTTCTGGTAAAATGCAAATAGATCAATATTTGTGTGTCTGTTATTCTTTGAGTGACTTGTTTTATTTTCTGACCCATCAAAGCTTTAATGAATGCTTCCTTGGCTGAAGGCAGTGCCGAGAACATTCCATCCACAGCACCGTACCAGGCACAGTGGCTAGTTTGCAACCTATTATAATCTTAAGGTTGGGTTTTTATAACAGCATGAGATGTAGAAGCAAAAGCAGGACATTCAGCCCATCAAATCTGCTCTGCCATTCAATGAGATCATGGGTATCTGATAAGTCTCAACTCCACTTTCCTGCCTTTTCCCCACAACCCTTGATTCCCTTACTGATTAAAAATCCACCTCAGCCTTAAGTAAACTTAATTACAGAGCCTCATTTACCCTCTCTAGTAAAGAATTCCATAGATTCACTACTCTGAGAGAAGAAATTCCTACCCATCTCTGCCTTAAAATATGTAACCCTGAGATTCTGAGATTATGTCCTCTGGTCCTAGATTCTCCCACAAGGGGAACCAACCTTTCTATATCTACCCTGACAAGTCCCCTAAGAATTTTTGTATGTTTCGATAAGGGCACTTCTCATTCTTTTAAATTCTGAGTATAGGTCCAACCTACTCAACCTTTCCTCATAAGATGGTCCCTTCATACCTGATATCAGCCTGGTGAACTTCCTCAGGACTGCTCCAAAAAGGGGACCAAAACCGTTCACAATATTTCAACTGTGGTCTGACTTGTGCCTTGAATATCTTTTTTCTAGCAAAAGCTCCCTAATTTTATATTCCATTTCTTTTGAAATAAGGGCTAACATTACATTTGCCTTTCATACTACCTGCTGAACTTGGATGTTAACTTTAACTTTCCTCAATCAGTTTTTGACATACAGAAATTCAGCAAATCATTGCTGTTTACTAGCCTTCAGAGATAAATTAAAATATTGAAATAAAAACAGAAAGTGCTGGAGAAACTCAGCAAGTCTGGCAGCATCTATGGGGGAAGAAACAAAGTTAATGTCTCGAGTTCGGTGCGGCACTGCTTTGGAACTGAATAGAGATAATGGTGACAGTTTTTATGTTATGACAAAGAAGAAGGAGGAGCAAGTGCAATAGATGTTCAGGTGCCAGAGCAAATGACAAAGAGAGTGATAAGGATAGTAAAGGAGTGATTGAGATGCACAATGGGTGTTAATGATAGGTGCAAGTGGTGGAAAATAGGTAAGCTCTGCTGAGACACAACTCATACCTACAAGACACCTGGGGGAGCAGTTTAATCAAAATGGGCACAATTTTTGTGCCCTGAAGTGTTGAATTCAATGGTGAGTTATTAAGGCTGTGAGGATCCAAAGTGGAAAATGAGGTGTTGTTCCTCTAGCTTGCATTGAACGTCGTCAGAATCTTAGCAAACCTAAGATGGAAATGTTAGCATGAGAGCAAGATGGTGTGCTGAAAGAACAAGCAACTAGAAGGTTAGAATCATTTTTATGGACAGAGTTTTGCTGAACACCTCTACTATCAACCAATGTTTGTTTGGTCTCGACAAAATAGGGGAGACTTGGCTGAAAGAAGTACAAGTCAAATTCTGCTATTCTGTAAGGTGTGTTTGGCGACTTGGATAGTGAGGAGGGAGAAGGTAAAAGGAGTGATTGCATAGGAAGGTACCATGGGGGTGAGGAACTATTAGAAGTGATGGAGGAGTAGACCAGTGTGTCATGAAAGGAACAGTTCCTGTGGAATGCTTACAGGAGAGGGGAGAGGAAGATGTTGCCTTGATTGTTCTGTCCTTTGACTATAGGAGTCAGGAAGTCATGATGATGTGCTACAGGACATTGTTGAGGCTTCTTCTGGAGTACTGTGTCCTGTTCTAGTCACCCTGTTATAGGAAGGATGCTAGAGAGTGTTCAGAAGAGATTTACTGGGATGTTGCCAAATATGGAAGGCTTGAGTTATAAAAAAAAGGCTGGATAAGCTGGGACATTTTTCACTGGAGCTTAGCAGGTTGAGAGGTGACCTTTGGAGATTGATAAAATCATGAGATGTATAGATAGGGTTAATAGTATGTGTTTTTTCCCTAGAACAGGGAATTTCAAGACTAGGGGCCGATTTCTAAGGTAAGAGGAGAGAGGTCTAAAAAAGACATGTGGGGCAATTTCTTTTTTACACACAGGGTGGCTCACATGTGGAATGAACGTCCTGAGAATGTGATGGATGTGGGCACGATTACAACATTTAAAAGACACTTAGAGAGGTACACGAATAAGAAATGTTTGGAGGGTTATAGGCCAGGACCAGGCAAGTAGGGTTAGTTTAGTTTGGCATTATGTTTGGCATGGATTTAAAATGCATCTAGATGGGTACATGAATAGGAAGGGTTTAGAGGGATATGGGCCGAATTCTGTAAAATGGGACTAAATAAATATACGATATTTGATCAACATGGATGAGTTGGACTGAAGGTTCTGTTTCCGTGCTGTACATCTCAACGACTCTATGACTCTATGGACTGGTTGTACCGAAGGGTCTGTTTCCATGCTGTATAGTCTATGACTCTATGTTGTTTGGTAGTGGAAATGGTGGAAGATGAATGCAGAAATCGGTGGTATAGAAAGTGAGGACAAGGAGAACTCTAGTATTATTCTGGGAGAGAGGAGACGGCCAAGGGCAGTAGTGTGGTAAATGGTTTGGAAATGGTAGGGGGCGTTGT